AAAACTTTAAAATGGCCATAACTCCGTAAATAATGACATTTCGGCGTTTTTAACTATTATTTGTGATCACTTGTTTAGGCATGAAATAATGAAAACTTTAAAATGGCCATAACTCCGTAAATAATGACATTTCGGCGTTTTTAACTATTATTTGTGATCACTTTTTTAGGCATGAATTAATGAAAACTTTAAAATGGCCATAACTCCGTAAATAATGACATTTCGGCGTTTTTAGCTATTATTTGTGATCACTTTTTTAGGCATGAATTAATGAAAACTTTAAAATGGCCATAACTCCCTTAATATTGACATTTCGGCGTTTTTAGCTATTATTTGTGATCACTTTTTTAGGCATGAAATTATTAAAACTTTAAAAGGGCCATAACTCCCTTAATATTGACATTTCGGCGTTTTTAGCTATTATTTGTGGTCACTTTTTTAGGCATGAATTAAAGAAAACTTTAAAATGGCCATAACTCCGTAAATAATAACATTTCGGCGTTTTTAGCTATTATTTGTGATCACTTTTTTAGGCATGAATTAATGAAAACTTTAAAATGGCCATAACTCCCTTAATATTGACATTTCGGCGTTTTTAGCTATTATTTGTGATCACTTGTTTAGGCATGAAATAATGAAAACTTTAAAATGGCCATAACTCCGTAAATAATGACATTTCGGCGTTTTTAACTATTATTTGTGATCACTTTTTTAGGCATGAATTAATGAAAACTTTAAAATGGCCATAACTCCCTTAATATTGACATTTCGGCGTTTTTAGCTATTATTTGTGATCACTTTTTTAGGCATGAATTAATGAAAACTTTAAAATGGCCATAACTCCCTTAATATTGACATTTCGGCGTTTTTAGCTATTATTTGTGATCACTTTTTTAGGCATGAATTAATGAAATCTTTAAAATGGCCATAACTCCCTTAATATTGACATTTCGGCGTTTTTAGCTATTATTTGTGATCACTTTTTTAGGCATGAATTAATGAAAACTTTAAAATGGCCATAACTCCCTTAATATTGACATTTCGGCGTTTTTAGCTATTATTTGTGATCACTTTTTTAACCATGAATTAATGAAAACTTTAAAATGGCCATAACTCCCTTAATATTGACATTTCGGCGTTTTTAGCTATTATTTGTGATCACTTTTTTTAGGCATGAATTAATGAAAACTTTAAAATGGCCATAACTTCGTAAATAATGACATTTCGGCGTTTTTAGCTATTATTTGTGATCACTTTTTTAGGCATGAATTAATGAAAACTTTAAAATGGCCATAACTCCCTTAATATTGACATTTCGGCGTTTTTAGCTATTATTTGTGATCACTTTTTTAGGCATGAAATTATTAAAACTTTAAAAGGGCCATAACTCCCTTAATATTGACATTTCGGCGTTTTTAGCTATTATTTGTGGTCACTTTTTTAGGCATGAATTAAAGAAAACTTTAAAATGGCCATAACTCCGTAAATAATGACATTTCGGCGTTTTTTAGCTATTATTTGTGATCACTTTTTTAGGCATGAATTAATGAAAACTTTAAAATGGCCATAACTCCCTTAATATTGACATTTCGGCGTTTTTAGCTATTATTTGTGATCACTTTTTTAACCATGAATTAATGAAAACTTTAAAATGGCCATAACTCCCTTAATATTGACATTTCGGCGTTTTTAGCTATTATTTGTGATCACTTTTTTTAGGCATGAATTAATGAAAACTTTAAAATGGCCATAACTTCGTAAATATTGACATTTCGGCGTTTTTAGCTATTATTTGTGATCACTTTTTTAGGCATGAATTAATGAAAACTTTAAAATGGCCATAACTCCGTAAATAATGACATTTCGACGTTTTTAGCTAATATTTGTGATCACTTTTTTAGGCATGAATTAATGAAAACTTTAAAATAGCCATAACTTCCTTAATATTGACATTTCGGCGTTTTTAGCTATTATTTGTGATCACTTTTTTAACCATGAATTAACGAAAACTTTAAAATGGCCATAACTCCGTAAATAATGACATTTCGGCGTTTTTAGCTATTATTTGTGATCACTTTTTTAGGCATGAATTAATGAAAACTTTAAAATGGCCATAACTCCCTTAATATTGACATTTCGGCGTTTTTAGCTATTATTTGTGATCACTTTTTTAGGCATGAAATTATTAAAACTTTAAAAGGGCCATAACTCCCTTAATATTGACATTTCGGCGTTTTTAGCTATTATTTGTGGTCACTTTTTTAGGCATGAATTAAAGAAAACTTTAAAATGGCCATAACTCCGTAAATAATGACATTTCGGCGTTTTTTAGCTATTATTTGTGATCACTTTTTTAGGCATGAATTAATGAAAACTTTAAAATGGCCATAACTCCCTTAATATTGACATTTCGGCGTTTTTAGCTATTATTTGTGATCACTTTTTTAACCATGAATTAATGAAAACTTTAAAATGGCCATAACTCCCTTAATATTGACATTTCGGCGTTTTTAGCTATTATTTGTGATCACTTTTTTTAGGCATGAATTAATGAAAACTTTAAAATGGCCATAACTTCGTAAATATTGACATTTCGGCGGTTTTAGCTATTATTTGTGATCACTTTTTTAGGCATGAATTAATGAAAACTTTAAAATGGCCATAACTCCGTAAATAATGACATTTCGGCGTTTTTAGCTATTATTTGTGATCACTTTTTAGGCATGTATTAATGAAAACTTTAAAATGGCCATAACTCCGTAAATAATGACATTTCGGCGTTTTTAGCTATTATTTGTGATCAATTTTTTAGGCATGAATTAATGAAAACTTTAAAATGGCCATAACTCCCTTAATATTAACATTTCGGCGTTTTTAGCTATTATTTGTGATCACTTTTTTAGGCATGAATTAATGAAAACTTTAAAATGGCCATAACTCCGTAAATAATGACATTTCGGCGTTTTTAGCTATTATTTGAGATCACTTTTTTAGGCATGAATTAATGAAAACTTTAAAATGGCCATAACTCCGTAAATAATGACATTTCGGCGTTTTTAGCTATTATTTGTGATCACTTTTTTAGGCATGAATTAATGAAAACTTTAGAATGACCATAACTCCGTAAATAATGACATTTCGGCGTTTTTAGCTATTATTTGTGATCACTTTTTTAGGCATGAATTAATGAAAACTTTAAAATGGCCATAACTCCGTAAATAATGACATTTCGGCGTTTTAGCTATTATTTATGATCACTTTTTTAGGCATGAATTAATGAAAACTTTAAAATGGCCATAACTACATAAATAATGACATTTCGGCGTTTTTAGCTATTATTTGTGATCACTTTTTTAGGCATGAATTAATGAATACTTAAAAATGGCCATAACTCCGCAAATAATGACATTTCAGCGTTTTTAGCTATTATTTGTGATCACTTTTTTAGGCATGAATTAATGAAAACTTTAAAATGGCCATAACTCCGTAAATAATGACATTTCGACGTTTTTAGCTATTATTTGTGATCACTTTTTTAGGCATGAATTAATGAAAACTTTAAAATGGCCATAACTCCGTAAATAATGACATTTCGGCGTTTTTAGCTATTATTTGTGATCACTTTTTTAGGCATGAATTAATGAAAACTTTAAAATGGCCACAACTCCGTAAATAATGACATTTCGGCGTTTTAGCTATTATTTGTGATCACTTTTTTAGGCATGAATTAATGAAAACTTTAAAATGGCCATAACTACGTAAATAATGACATTTCGGCGTTTTTAGCTATTATTTGTGATCACTTTTTTAGGCATGAATTAATGAAAACTTTAAAATGGCCATAACTCCGTAATTAATGACATTTCGGCGTTTTTAGCTATTATTTGTGATCACTTTTTTAGGCATGAATTAATGAAAACTTTAAAATGGCCTAACTCCGTAAATAATGACATTTCGGCGTTTTTAGCTATTATTTGTGATCACTTTTTTAGGCATGAATTAATGAAAACTTTAAAATGGCCATAACTCCGTAAATAATGACATTTCGGCGTTTTTAGCTATTATTTGTGATCACTTTTTTAGGCATGAATTAATGAAAACTTTAAAATGGCCATAACTCCGTAAATAATGACATTTCGGCGTTTTTAGCTATTATTTGTGATCACTTTTTTAGGCATGAATTAATGAAAACTTTAAAATGGCCATAACTCCGTAAATAATGACATTTCAGCGTTTTTAGTTATTATTTGTGATCACTGCTTTAGCCATAGGCAATTCTTTGATCATATTTGAATTCTTATCAAAATACACAACAGAAATTTTAAAATTTTCAAAATACTTATTCATGGTATCATAAAACTACTGAAATGCAGCTCTATGGCTGGAAATACATAAAGAGCATATTTGGCTGGCTTAAGTCATCGGCTGGCTTCTTCGTAGACGAACAATGGAGTTTTAGGTTTATTTAGTTCGATTTTAGCCCTGGGCTCCTTTGTTCATTTCCGAAGAAGCCAGCCGATGACTTAAGCCAGCCAGATAAGCGCTTTATGTATTCTCAGCTTAAGGCTATGTATACTTGCTACATGTCAGAAGTAAACAAAATATGATGCAACAATTGTTCTCATTTCTAAATGAAAAGATCTGAATTTCGTTCAAAATATGATCTTATTGTACGTTTATAGTTTACCCGATTTAGTAAATCTACTGCATGTACTTAATTTGTAAAGGAGATAAATTAAAACATATTGGTAGTCTCTTTGAATTGTTTTTTGGTAAAATTGCCTTGCATTATCTTTAAAAGAAAAACCTAGAAATCTACCATAACAGCATTTTCTTCAGAAATCTTTTTTAAATTCTTGAATTTTACAACGGCTTTTCTACACACTGTGAACATCCCATAATCTATTTGCTTTGATTTTAAACTGTCGATTTTCAATCTGTGGAACCCTGTATTGAACGTTTTTCAATCTATTGATCCCTGCATTGGCTATTTTTCAATCTCTTGATCCCTTGCATTTTTATGTGGTTTGTTTGTTTTAATCGATTCACTCAAGGCAAGTGGAGTGCAGAGGTTCCTAAATAATATACAATGTTGCGACAATTGACCAGACAATTATGCCGGTCAGGCGATCTTAAAAAAGCTGTGGCCCAAAGAACAATTACCACCACCAACTGTCTGCGTGATGGCGAAGGTAAGTTTTGCAAGATCAACGTTACTTTGGCATGACATAATTTGCACGCAAATTTGCGATTTACTTCCCACAGCTCAAGCTGAGGAGAAAACCATATTGGTGGATAAGGAGAAAAACATTACCATGATTGGTATAAATAGACCACAACAAAGAAATGCCATTAATGCCTCGACAGCGGCTAAATTGTGTGAAGCCTTCAGTGCCTTTGAGGCAGATGACACATCGCCCATTGCAGTTCTTTATGGTGTGGGTGGAAGTTTTTGTTCCGGATTTGATATTCTGGAAATGGCTGCCAACGACGAGGGTAAGGTGTCCATGGAAATGCTAATGATGCCCGAAGGTTCGGTGGGACCAACGCGTCGCCATCTACACAAACCCGTGGTGTGTGGCATCAATGGTTATTGTGTGGCCAATGGCTTAGAATTGGCTTTGATGTGTGATTTGCGGGTTATGGAGGAAACGGCGGTACTGGGTTTCTTTAATCGTCGTTTTGGTGTACCCGTCATTGATGGTGGCACTGCACGTTTACCGGCCATGATTGGATTTGCACGTGCTCTGGATTTAATTTTAACCGGCCGCCAAGTTAATGCCGAAGAAGCACATGCCATTGGTTTGGTCAATCGTATTGTACCAACGGGAAATGCTCTAGTTAAAGCTTTGGAATTGGCTCATGCCTTGGCTAAATTCCCACAAAGTGCATTAAATCATGATCGGAATTCGTTGTATTCGTCCGTCTTTGAGGCAGCCAATTTCCATCAAGCCATACAAAATGAGATTATGTATACGTCGAAGGATATTATTGATCAAATGAAGGATGGTATTACGTGGTTTAATCAAAGTGAGTATTGATCAATGCAGATTTTAATGGTAGTATAAAAACGGTGTTATGAATGTTATTTAAAATTGAGAAGCGAAAAGTTTCCTGGATTTTATAACCCCTTTATTACAATTCGAAATATATATTTGAATATATCGTACACATGTGCTATGTTTGGCGGAATGGAAAATGAGTTTTTGGGGAAGATGACCGAAGAAAAAAATTGAGGTTACCTCATTGGACTCACTCTCCTCTTTCCCATATAACTAAAATATCTTTTCCGTAAGCTTGCAGTTTCTAGTCTAAAATATTTTGCGGGCTTCGGCCGGATTTGTAAACCTATTATTGGATTTATGCTTCTCATCAGATGAAACCTTCCTCGTAGTTTTGTTTTAATTTTTTTGTCTTTGTACACGATAACTTTTTAACGGAACATCCTCTAAATTCGGCACATCGTTATATTGATACTAAATTTAGAACAAGTTCAAAACCTTTTCATAAAGAAAAAAATATTTCATAACTTTCCTAATACACGAAGAAAAGGGCATGAGCTGTCCTGAAATTATCAGTTTTTATATAACTCCTCTAATTTTTCAAGTAATTAGTACTTTTTTACTTTTCAAGTAAAAAGTATCTTTCTTTTGACGTCCTAAAGTCATCATCGACAGATTTACTTTAAATGTTTTTCATTTCTGTAAGACCTATTGAAGGCCAATAGAGTTCTATTTTATTTACTAGAAATCCCTAAATCTTATTCCTATGTTCCCATAAATAATGTTTCAATTTCTATCCTCTGTCTTTTACAGCCTTCAAAGAACACAATCGTGACTCATGGCTGAAGCGTGACAAATCAATGGCTGATTGGGATGATCAAATGGTTGCCGAGGCCGCCGCTCAAAAAGAAGCCGAAAAACAGGCCCAGGAACGGGCACGAATTGAAGAAGAGAAACGTCTGAAAGAAGAAAAGGAAAAGAAAAAAGCTGATAAAAAGAAAAAATCGGATGAAACCGATGAAAGTGCCGCCAAAGAATAAAGAACAAATTTAATTTATTTATTGTTGTAATTGAAATGTTATTAATGTGTCGGACAAGTAGTAGCTTACGAATATTTTTATAATTAAAAAAAACAAATTTGCTAATTTGTAATGGAAAAATATAAAACAGAAGAAGACTTTAATGAACTAAGGTTCATGAGATGAAGCTGATATGTTTTGATATCTATGCGAATGGAGTTATAAAGAAATGTGAATTTTTAACAAGTTTGAAAGTTACTAGGTGGCGCTTCGTACTTGCTTTATTATTTATGCGCCCTAAAATATGCCTTGATTTTTGGTATTTTACCAAATTTGCAATGCATGGATTTTTAAATGTTTTAGGAGGACATTTAAAAATCTGTGCAAGAATTGAAAACTTTTTTTACTTATAGAGATTGCAGGTGGGCGAGAGAGGGAGGAGGTCTTTGTTCGTCACTCGAACTGTGTTAAGGGAATTCTCGATAGACAATGTATTATGACATTTTGAATTCCTTTGTGATGGCACAGTATCAGGTATGTGATGAAACCCGATTTGTGGAATCAAAATTACCATCAAATCGAGGGTAATTCCGGACTGCAAGCAAGAAGTTCTTAAAATATCTGAGCTCATTAAGCTTTGTTGGGTCCAAGGACATAGTTATATGGTGGGGAATGAAATGGCTGATGAATTAGCTCAATACGGTAAGATTAGATTAAAAAAGGCTCTCATCGAAGAAGCTTACATGTGGAAACCGGTTGCATGATATCTAGGACCATCTGTCCGGCAATCTCAAAAAAGAACGTGCTTCCTCCTTTTATTAAATAATAGTTCCGATCTAAGAATAGTATTGGTCATATTGACTGTCCACTTCAAAATCAGACCTCTAGATAGGATAACGTTAGTCCCTGTACTACTGTAGACTATGTGAGGACGAAGAAGCGGTAGAAACGATTGAACATCTACTATGCAGATGTACCACGCTGTCAAGCTAAAGCCATAGGCTGTTCTTTTGGTGGGACATAAACACTCTAATGTTTTTCTAAAGCGTAGATGCCATCATTATTTACAAATTTGCCAAAGCCATTTCCTGGTTTAGCAAACCACTCTTCTAATTACACTTATCTTCTCGCTATTATATCTCGAATATCATCGCGAAAATATTCTGGAGGGTATATTATAGCCTTTCGGCCGCAAACCTTGGACATTCCAACACGACTCAACACCATGGTACTCAGCACGCGCCAACAATGGTTACAAAATGAGTTTCCTCGTTTCATTTCCAGCGCACAATTGCCACCCAAAATCTCCGGATACCAATCCGTTGGACTATTGTGTCTTCAATATTTTGGAAAGCAAGGTTGGTACTAAAAAATATCAAAATGTCGATCACCTGAAGAAAGCGCTTCGCCGGGAATGGGCCAAAATACCACAGAACAATATTCGGGCAGCGTATGACGGTTTCATTGGCCATAATTCGTGCCAAAGGTGACCATTTCGAACAAATTTAAACTTATTCTAAAATTTAAAGCTATTTCCGACATGTTTGCTTTCATTTAATAAAATTAAAAAAAAAGGAAAATTATGTCGTTTAACTTTGCAGCAGTTTTTTTGTCTCTCCCAGTATTTCTTATATTTTTAAATAATGAAAATTACCTTTATCGCTTCACATTTGGGTATAGCTCCCAAATAACCCTTACCCACTGATTTCCGGTGTTTCTTAGGTGGGTTTGGTCCCAATTTTGAACTAAATCACCTGCAATATCAATGTATTTCCCCTTTTTGATATTGGTTTCGGCCAAAAAAAATCCAAATAAATAAGTTGTATTAATGATATTTCGGATTCTCAATAGTTATCCCAACTTCTCACACTTCTCTCTTGTCTTGGAAAGCCCAATCACTTTTTAGTTCTTCCCACCTACTCCACTCCCTAAAGATTTCATTGTAGCGCTATATTAGATGTACTATCACTGTTTTATATGTTGTATCCTTTTCCGTTAACCAAATTTCCAAAGTAAAATAAAAAACACATTCATTTTTTTATTTGGTTTTGTTGTTATTATTTTGTTTCTTTCAAGAGCTCTAACAAATTGGTATCCAATAGATTTATTAATTTCGGTTTTGTATTTTTTGTTTGTTGCTGATGTTTTGCTTGTTGTTATTATTTTTAGTATTCTGTTATGTTATAGAATGCATGTATGACACAAGTACACAATAGTTGTTGTTGAATGAATGTTTGTTGTTTGTTTTTTTGTTAATAATGCAGGTCTCGCTCATCTTCATACTTTTTTTAAAACGCTTACAAAAAATTCATAAAGGTATCATGACATGCATACAAAAACTACACTTATTTAAACATTTATTTTTTTGTTATATTTTTTTAATATTTATTGTTTATTCATATTTTCATAGAGATAATAACAACAAATTTGTATGTGTTTTTAAAAAAAAGATGGTTCACCAATCATCTCAGACGAATTGGGATTTAGAGAAGAGGGGCTAAGGACTAGGGGCTGGAAGGAAATGTGGGATAGGTACAGAGAGGAATGATAGAGGAAATATTATGATAACAAGTTATTTATATTTATTATATATAATAATAGTAATTATAATGATAATGATAATAATACGAAAAAATATTAGTAAATAGTTTCCTTTTTCTTTTTTTGATGTTTTACATTTGTGTGGTTTTTTGTTTTTGTTATTTTCTCCAACATCTATAATAAAATTTAAACATAGATAATTTTGAATGAAGAAAGAAAATGAAAAAGAAAACTGAAAGTAAAAGAATTCAAATGGGGGTTTGGTTTGCAAACCACGGCTTATTGAAATGTGCAAATTTGGGAATTATATGGATGAAGTTGGAATATCGTGCACATTGGGTTCTTCTTCTTCTTGGCTGTTTGTTGGTTGGTTTTTTGTTTTTTGGTATATTTATACCCCCAAATATGATACCCTTTGCTGGCATGCAAGTTTTCTTTTGCACACAACAACGCCGGGTTCCGTTAAAAGAGTAGTTTGTAGGTTTCCTTAAGACTAAACACGTTTGTTTTGATAGATTTTTCGGTTTCATCTCATCCCCGAAGCGTGTGGTAGGTGTTAGTTGTTCCTTTTTATCTCTTGTATGTATAAATTACGCTTTTACAATTACACAATAATAAAAAGTTGTTAGTATAATAATGATTTTGGTTTGATTACTTCTTGTGTTTTTGTTTTGTTGCTTTACAAGTTCATTCAAGTTCATATGGACAGGACGACGACATGGGGAGGATGTGGGGTTGATGATGAATGTGTAGGCTGGGTGGTTAATCTGTTTAATTAATGTGCCAGACATAACAGTAATGGGTGTTTGTTTTTATTTTCATTTCGACTAAAACAAAAGGACAAAAAGCATGCTGTGAATTTATTTCCCAAAAATTTTTCTGATTGGCTATTTGTTCGCTGCAGGTGAATTATTTGGTGGTGGTATTTTCTTTTCTTAATAGGTGGTGAGATCAGTGCATCATGCAAGCATTTGTTTTTTTCTTTCTTGGAATTCACTGGTGTTTGTTTAGCAGCTCAATGTGATTAAATCTTTATTATTCTCTGTTTTACTTAAAGGACATTTTGTTGTTGTTTTTGTTTTGATTTGTAATTTAAAGAAGTCATTTTAAAAATGTTGTTTTGTTTTTTTTTTTTTGGTATTTGTTTTCATTCTTCTAGTTCTCATAGCTTTTCAGTTTTGGTTCAGTTTGTATTTAGGAGCACGTTTTTTTCCTTTCGTTTTTTCCCTGATTTCTGTGTGTGTTGTGTGGACGTCTTTTGCTAGAGTCTAACGATTTATTCATCTTTCTTGTTGATAATGATGGCATTATCAATTTCATCCTTGGGCTGATCCTTGTCGCCCCAACCCCAGGTGGCATGTGAACCATCACCGGTACGCTTGACACGCTTCTTAATGATATCAGCCGACACGGTCTTCAAGTCATAGGCCCAGCCAATTTTGGCAAAGAAATCAATGAAGCCAGTGGTCATGTTCATGGAATAGTTGCCGAATTCAGCGGTCTTGTAATCCCAGGGGAAGACATGATGATAATTGTGCCAGCCTTCACCGAAAGCCAAGATGGCCACAGATTTGTTTTCAGCGGGGTTGATGTATCTAGGGGAGGGGTGGTAATAACATTTAATTAGGAATTGAAATTATTTTGCAAATTGGATAACAACTTACTTGTCATAGGGTTTGCCACCGAATTTGTGAGCAGCACTGTTCACCAACCAGGTGATGTTGAGAATGAAACACCAACGGAACATGGTGGCCACAAACCAGGAGTTCATGAAACTTTCATTCCAGCCATACATAGGGATCATGGTTGGCAAAATGAAGCAAAGAATGGGCATCAAGATCAGGTAGTATCTGAATATAAAAAAAGAAAAGAAAATTTGTTTAAAAACATGAAATTTAAAATCCATTTTGAGCAAGGACGGTTATATTATGATCCTGCAGCAATTTGATGATAAGCGGTGAGAGTATTTCTTCGTCTATATTTACATTATCCCCAGCCATATGGCTAGAGAGGGTATATATCATTTGATAAGGCCAAAACGTACCTCATCGAAATAAGGGTTTTAGACCCTAGATCTCTTTGGACAAAATTCGTTTCAGAACATTTGGAGTTGATCTTGGCACATCTCAATATTTCCATAAACGCAAGATATGTTATAAAGATGGTAGAGATCGAACCATTCCTTCTAGTATTTCCCCCACAACAAAGGGTTAAAGTTTTGAATAACCAGACCGATCATAAAATCTGAAATAAGCATCTAGCTTTCTTCAATTACACACATCACAATATTTTTGTTAACATAAGGTCTGGTATTATCGGGTCCACTCCTTCTGGTACCTCCCCCACCAAAGGTCAAAATTTTGAGTATTAATTAATCTCATAAAACGTGAAATTAGCATCCGATTACATTCAGACTAGGTGCATCTCAATATTTTTATCAACACAAGATATGTTGAAAAGATGGTAGAGATTGTACCATACCTTCTGGTGCCTCTCCCACATAGGGTTCAAGATGTTTAAAAACAAAACGTTCAAAGAACGAAATAAGCATCCAACTCTCTTCAAATTTCACATATCCAGACATTTTTGCTGACACAAGATCTGTTGTGAAGATGATATATATGTGGTACCTCCCCGCAAAGGGTCTCAATTACCAATATTTATATCTGTCATAACTTGCGAAACAAGTCAGCGATTCCTAACAACTTGCTATATCTAAATATTTCTTTCAACCAGAAACCTGAGATAAATATAGAATTTATCGAAATTTATAATTTCGCACAAAATTGGATATAAATCGATTCGATTTCCTTCAAATTTTGCAAATACTAAAATTTTTACATAACAGAAGTCAAAATATATTTAAATAATCGAACATTGACTGAGGATATACATCTGTCGACAAAACCGACTGATGCTTTTTAACTTGTTAGTCTATAATTAGACAAATTTTTTGGTGCGGGTTCGCACTCGAAATCTTGATTTTACCAAATCTCGATTTAAACTAAAGAGTTCGTCCCTGCTCCGAATAGCTTTATCATTTGTCACAATACTCACTTCTTTTGGAACATAATAATGGGATCAGCTTTCAAATCCGACAAATCGACACCCTTGCCCTTGGCCTTGACTTCAGGGTGTTTCTTGCACAGCAACCAACCAATGTGCGAGAAGAAGAAACCACGTGTAGCATTATGGGGATCAGCATCAGTTTCCGAATACTTGTGATGGACACGATGATCGCGGGCCCAGTGATATGCGGCATCTTGGAATGCAATCGTATTGAAAATCATCAAAATCAAACGCAATGGCCATTTGGCTTTGTAGGATCTATGGGCCCACAGACGATGGGCACCGGCCGTAATACCCAGACCGGAGACAACATATAAAGCAAAAGCTAGAAATAGAAGGAAAACAATATAAAATTAGATTTTGTTTTGGAATTGATAGAAAAAAGGCTATTTTTTGATAATGATTTTAAATCGATCTATAGATCAATAACTGGCATCATTCAGTTAAAGAGGTAAGTATAACTATATGATACACAAATAAATACAAAGGTAATTCTGGTACTTTCTTGTTATGAGTAAGTTTCAAATCTAGTGTCTGTATTAAATATGCAAATCTCATTTAATTATACTGCTTGTTTACAGTTATATATAATTATTACGTTAAAAATATATATATTACGAATCGTTCTTGTCGTCAATTACAGTAAATGGATCTGATACATTAATTGCCCAATTAATCACAATCTAATAATTACATATTAAGATTACAGTTTTCACCTTTCCCTGTAGCGATTGAAAATATTACTGGTTGCAAAATTGGTTACCACCTTCAATATTATTCTCAAGCTTCCTTTTTGAATTACTGTTAACGTGAGATACCTCAAAAATTTTCCTACGTAATTACTAATATCAAGATATTTTTCTAGAAATATGGGGCCAAACATTTCGATTGAAATGAATTTTTATATCTGAATTTCAGATTGAGGTAAATCTCACATTTTTATAATGACAAAGTCTAAATTCAATATTTGATATTTAGCTGTTTAAATTTCAAATTGAAACCAGATGAAATGTATGCATTCAAATTCATATCGATTCGATACTGAATTCGAAAATTCAGGGGCGAGAATACGTAATGGAATTTGTATAGATCGATATGTATGGAAAATAAAACCAACATATGAGATAGCCGAACTTTAAAAGAACGCAAATCGATTTCCAACATGCTATGTATATTCATATGTTCTTGTTCTTTGTCGAACTCATATAAATTGTTATTCTCTTTGATTTCCTTTTCCATTTATATCTAATTTCTGACGATAATATTAATTTGTGTCCTATCCTTCATGATGTTGTAGCCAAAACATAATCTTTTCAACTCTTCGATACCAGCGTTGGATGGAGTACTAGCTTTGCAAGTAAAAAAATTTGAAATGAGCCTGGTGCCATCGTCAATGTAAATCATATGTATCTTACGGTGGTCTTGTCAAGTAAAGGGAACTGGTACCCACTTTATTCAATTCGATGCCAAACCTCCAGTTTTTGGTATTTTATTAAAAATTGAGACAGGAAGAAATTATTAATTCAGTTAGTGCTAGTCAGGGGTTTTTACATATTGGACATGAGAAGATAGTGAAATGTTTGTCATAAGGAAGACAAAACCTTGAAAATATCATTTCAGGAGTCGGAATTTTAATGACCATTAAAGCATTTGGGTTCATTATTTCGAGCGACTGAAGAACAACAATTTTCGAGTGATTTCGTTAAGCTATATTGGAGATACTATCAAACTATTTTCGGTTTCTCCTCATAGTAATAACATGGGAAATAAAAGGCAAATAAACTAGCAAAGGTGGATTCTAGCATCTCAATGAGATCTGCCTAGCTATTACATCGGCATCGTTCAAAGGGACTATTCCGAAAGGGCAAGCAATAAATGGAAGCAGATAGCATTCGTCCCCTAACTCATTAGAGATTGAAACTACATTCAAAGTTTGTTGTTTTTGTTACACCAGCACCGTAACGTCCGATTTTTGCTAATCAAATTTTAAAACTAAAATTTAAAAAACCGGCTACTTTCACAGGTCTCATTCAAAGATATTCAGGAGTGAGTTAGGTAGTTTTGAAAGGGTTTTGCGTGGGCAGCACCATCCAGAACGAACTTGGGCCGAAAACTTCCCTGCTGTCTTCCCTGTCTGGGCAGCCCACCTTCTTCTTCAGCCGCAATGGTTGGGTATGGACTCTGATGGCGACATTCACACTCTAATTGTTAATAGCATCAGTATGAATGCTACTCAGACCTGCCAGATAGGCTTCTTGTTCTAGACACTCTCTTTTAGCTTTGGACCTCGCACCCTTGATTGTGTAGGTTCATCCTGTGTAGGTTGGAGAGTTGTATCCACAATATAATGGCTTGGATGACTCCCGACATCCAAGCAGGTACTGCAACGAAAGTGTTTGGCTATGCTGACGTACCGCGAAGGTCGCCTTCTCATGAATCGTCCTATGGATTTTTAATAAAAATAATTGAGGTTGTGAATTCAATTCCATTGATATTCAACTCCGGTTTCATTCATTTGATTTCTTCAGGAAACATACAAAGTTTGAGAGATACTCTTGGAAATTTGTATATGCAGGAAAATGTTAGTCATAATGGAACACAGTTTTGCTGTTGAAAATATGGAGTAATGAGGGAATATATAAAAAATATCCCCAAAACAAAAAGAGCAACTGACGAAGTCCCTTTAAAACCATTTGAAAAACAATTTTTCGCTAATTACTAATTAACGTTTTCATAATTCTACAGTAGCTATGAGGGATAACAGGGGACGTTCTTTTTTATACCCTCAGCCATATGGCTACAGAGGGTATATATCATTTGATACGGCCAAAACGTGCCTAGTCGAAATAACGGTTTTAGACCCTAGGTCTCTTTGGACCAAATCCGTTTCAGAACATTTGAAGTCGATCTACCGATGTCCGTCCGTCCGTCCGTCCGTCCGTCTGTCTGTCTGTCTGTCTGTCTGGCTGGCTGGTGCGCACGATAACTCTCGAAGGGAGTATCCGATTTGGTCCAAATTGGCTACAACGTAATATTTTTGTCAAACTTAGATCGAGTTCGAAGATGGGCAATATCGGTCCACTCCTTCTGGTAGCTCCCCCACAAAAGGTCGAAATTTTCAAAAAATATATTTTTTGCACAGGAAGAGAAAGGATAATCCGAATTTGCTCCAACTTTGCAAATCCTAATATCTGCGTTAGTGCTAGGTCAGGTGTGAAAATGGGCAATATCGGTCCACTCCATCAAGTACCTCCCCCACAAATGGTCAAAATTTTGAATAATTACAACTCTCATAAAATGTTATGTAAGAGGCCGATTGTCTTCAAATTTCACACATTCCAATATTTATATTACCCCAAGGTCTGGTGTTAAGATGAACAATATCGGTCCACTCCTTCTGGTACCTCCCCCACAAAAGGTCGAAATTTTCAAAAAATATATTCTTTGCACAGAAAGAGAAAGGATAATCCGAATTTGCTCCAACTTTGCAAATCCTAATATTTGCGTCAGTGCTAGGGCAGGTGTGGAAATGGACAATATCGGTCCACTCCATCAAGTACCTCCCCCACAAATGGTCAAAATTTTGAATAATTACAACTCTCATAAAATGTTATGTAAGAGTCCGACTGTCTTCAAATTTCACACATCCCAATATTTATATTAACCCAAGGTCTTGTGTTAAGATGAACAATATCGGCCCACTCCTTCTGGTACCTCCCCCACAAAAGGTCGAAATTTTCAAAAAAAAAAAAAAAAAAAAAACAAATTTTTTGCACAGAAAGAGAAAGGCTAATCCGAATTTGCTCCGACTTTGCGAATCCTAATATTTGCGTCAGTGCTAGGACAGGTGTGAAAATGGACAATATCGGTCCACTCCATCAAGTACCTCCCCCACAAAATATTGAAATTTTGAGTACCCATGAAGCTCATAAATCGCCAAATTAACATCGGATTCCATTTAGACTTGGCACATCTGTCGAAATATTTATATCATATTTTGGGTCCGGTAGGAAATGGCCCATTCCTTCGGGATCTGCTCCATAGAGGGTCAAACGTTTGAATAACCTTAACACTAGTCAAAATATATTTAGATAATCGAACATAGGCTGAGGGTATATCTCTGACGGCAATACCGACTGATACTTTTTAACTTGTTAATTAAAAAATTAACGAACTGAACTTGCAAACATAACCAAGACCTTCAAAATATGTTTAATAGTACGACAAAGAAATTTTTTTAACAAATATTAGATTTTGTAATTTTCCTAAGAAAAATAACAATTCATAAATATTACTATCTACGTATGATGCTTGCTTGCTGCTTATCAATAGGAAAACATTCCACAGTTACAACTGAACAACAAATTGTTATAAATTTGCGTCATACACCGTAATAGGTAATTGAATTTGTTATAGTTGTATTATAACATATCAATTGCTGACACAACAAGAAGTATAGTTAAACGAAATGTCAATAAACTGCGGAATAATGTAAATCATTATCAAAATAGAACATGAGAAAGATTGATATAAATTGAAAAAATTTTTGATATCAGTAAGACGAGGAAGTTACAAATTGGAATCCAATAGGGTTCAAATTATATAGCAAATATCGGGATGTAGCAAAAATCGGGATGTATCCTCATAGATAAACAAAAAAAAACAATAAATAGTGGAATAATGTAAATCATATTTAAATTTGACTAACGATACTCTATTTTTATTTAGGTATATTCTATATGTAACAGCAAGATGTCCTGTTCTTACACTGCAAGTTTAAAATGACAAATAATTAGATTTAAATAAAATGGATCAGAAGTGGAGGAAATTTAAAATTTGATTGTATTCTTATAAGGGAATTCATTTTTCGAAATAAATTTAACACAAAATATAAACCCTTCATTATTATGAATAGAAACCGGATCTGTAGAGGCTCCGAAAGAAAGAATAAAAGATAACTCTCCCCACGTTATATGTCTGAGAGTCATGGTAATGAGCAGCATGACATTGCTGGAGGAGGAGTAATTGGGTTCAAATTATATTATAGGGCAAAATCTTAAAAATGTTTTTAATCAAACTGTATTGACAAACCAAAGGAATAGAAACCGGATCTGTCGAAACTTGGTATTCGTTGTCTTGAAAAAATTTCGCCCATCTTCGAAATTGACCCATCTGCAAATATTTGATAGTTCCGTGTAAATTTTAGGGTCTTATCACAAGTGATTAGGACAATAGAGTGGTTGTAACTTAGAACTGTACTTTGATTGGAACGAAAATTATAATTTGATGAGTAACAAACGGAATAACAAACTTAATATACGCTCCATAGTTTGGTGCTTTCGCTCATACGCAATTATACGTTGGCACAATTAAAATTTCCATTTGCATCCCGCCGCAGCAGCAACAGTCTGGACGTAAACAATTTTTACTGCAAATGAAAACTTGTTTGGACCTGCTGCACACTAACTACGCCACACATTATTGTAATTTTGAAAATTTCACTATGATTTACGTCAACGAAAGCCAATTTCAATTACAAACATACACACACAACGTGTTTTTTTGTTTAAAATCTTTCATACTCACCAAAAACGATGGTCTGCCATTTGGCTGATGTAAACATTAGATAGGCTCCATATAATGCAGCCAGATGCAGATAACCAAATGCAATGATATTACGCCACACCAATTTCAGTTTACGTTTTTCGGCTTTTTTCAATCTTTCAATATCCTTAACCAAGCCACCATCGATGGTTTCGGCATCCTGTTCGAAGAGAACACCAGTTGTGGCCTCGTGCAGAACTTTTGGATTAGCGCCATCAATGTTGGCACTGGCCAAAAGGGATTCAGATAATGCTGGAGTGGGGGGAGCGGCGTTTGGCGGCATATTGCTGTAAACAGAAAAACAAAAACGGAAAGAGAAAGAGAAAAATTAATTAAGTTATTTAAGTTAATCAAGAAATAATCTTTTTTAATTGACAAATCCAGTTTTTTGCAAAGTTCTTAATTTTTTACTGGGCGATTAAGTAATACACTCAGTCGGCAGGCATGCTTGTCATCACACAGAGGTAAGACAACACCATGAAATTTTTACATTTTTCACTGGCAAATTTATTCACTCTTAAAGGATATTTTTGACAGGACAACAAAATTAGATTTCTATTATTAAATTTTAGGCGTTGAAATGGCAGAATTACCTTTCGCTTCTTAGTTCTTTTCAAACAATGAATAAAACACAAAAAGCCAACAAAATTTTCCACTAATATATCATGCACACTCAAACACAAACACGACACGACGCAGTATATATATGTATTATTGACAGGCAGGAATACTACTGGAGAGGTACAGGTACATCACATTCGTCGTGTAGCAAAATCCTGATACCTTTCTTCATCCAACAACCTCTTCTCTGGTTGTAGTTGTTTGTTACGCTTTTTTTCCTACTAGCCTCCTCTATGGTATATGTAAGTATGTATACTCATATGAGTTTGTCCACGTCCAGCTGGCTGGTTTACTGAATGACGGGCTGTCTGGCTGCCTAGCTAGCTGGCTGGCTGGCAATCTAACAGAGTGGCGAGTGGCGTGCTGGCCTGCTGCTCAAAAACTAACAGGGAAAAACGCTTGAGCTATATGAAATCATACGATGCAACTATAAACAATTCTTGTTCAAATGACGTTAGCCTACAGCAGAGTAGAGTATGTACGTCAGTCAATGTGTTGGAGAACACAACCACTTGGAGAGAGTAACAAGCAAAGCAAGAGAGACCTCCGAGTGGCGTGTTGTTTCTTTCCATTTCACAAAGCCGCCATACCAACTAGTGTGTGGCTGTGTGTGCACAACAACATTCATCCATCCAGTACACAGAGAATTAGCAAAACATTAATTTTGTTATAAAAAAATTCACAAAACAAAAGCTCTCCGAAAGAAAGCATAAAAGAGAACTCTCCCCCGGTTATATGTCTGAGAGTCATGGCGAAGAGTATCATGACATTGCTGGAGGAATAAGAATATTTGTTTTTTGTTGGTGGTAGAAAAAGGTGGCCTGATATGTGCCAGCCAGCCATCCAGCTGATGATTCCATTTTGCATGAAGAAAAAAAGACCGGTAATGATACAGCCGCCATCCAAACATATAATATATGTGTGTAGGTAGACATGTATGTTTGTATATTTGGATGTATCATCAAGTGTGAATGATTTCCGACAAAAATGGATTAAATACAAATGTTTTGGAAATGTAAATATTTACCAATGCGAAAAAATGAAGGTTAGTAGTTGAAGTAAATTCTAGATTTAAAGTGCTCTAATGAAAATAATTAAAATCTTTTAGGTAATAATGTTTATACCACATTTTACATAGATGGGATTGAGGAGGGATGAGCCAAAAATTTTCTAATTGCCTATTTGATTGCTGATATTTCCAGTGACATTACCACATCAAATAATCAGCACAAGATTTGTGATATACAAAACAATCAGGCTTCTCCCTTGAGGACAACTTTTTCAGATCATATGAGAAGTAAAACCACCACAACGATAGCATTATGAACTATTATTTTTCAGGTCTCAAAACCTCGAAGGACATTTTCAATGGTCGAAAATTCGACGAGGATAGTCCCGAACCACACACACATTTAAACTATATCAATATTATCATTGCAAAAAAAAAATAATTCTTGATGACTTTATGATTTTTTTCAGGTGGTGTAAAAACTGTTTCTCCTTTCTCCAAAATGCGGCCAAGTATATTCCACTATTCTTTCAAGCAGGTGAAATGTATTTCCGACTTTCTATGCGGTTATTGGATGTAGGTGAGTATTAATACTTTATAAATTTAAAACAGCTTATTCTTTTCGTGTGTTTTTTTTTTCAGGTCATATATAGCATAAAACCATATCTCTTTCTCAAAAATGTGACCACCTCGGTTGAATCTTCTTTCAAGAATACGGAAAAACATAACTCCGACTTTCTATGCGTTCGGTCATTGTTCAGATATGGATAAATAAAATAGAGATTCAACAATATTCATAAAAGTGATGGTAGTATGGAAGCATCAGTTAAAACTGACTGAATAAGATTTCTCTAAGCAGATCATAAGATGGTTAGAGAAGATTTTGTAAAGCGGTTAGCAAAGACCAAGCCATACATTGACCCAGCTTTATCAAGCATCAAGTTTTTGAGAGAACGGTCAAGGCAAACATAAACATCAGACAAAATGCAAACATTGAATGAATATATAAAACAACATTTAAATATATATAGACAAGATAACGCAGGATAAAATTCTTTCACATTTAAGAAGTTAAAAATCTTTGTTACACTATTCCAGGTTCTAGAAAAGTCGTCATCACAAAAGTTTGGCATCTATAACTTTTGTGATGACGACTTTTGTAGAACATGGAACAATGTAACGAAGATAATAAGTTAAGGTAAGTAGTTAGTATTTTTAAAAAAATTATCTAATATTTGTGCTTTATTTGCAGGTGGAAAGAAAGCAAAGTTTGAAGAGAAATCGGCGTAGTTTTTATATATTGATAAAACAGTCAAAGTCTCCTAGGATCTTGAGGCCCCAATAAAATATGGAAAAAATGACCAAGATCTTGAAAATAACTAAAATCAGAGAAATCTTTATATACGGACTTTTTAAAAACGTGGTTCCATATTGATAAGTACAAGTTTTCTATAATGAGAATTCGAAATACGAAAATTGAGAACCTATAACCTTTTGGGGTTGTGATCTATAAATATAATTTTTAATTTGCAGATCACAGACCAAAATAAGTTTTTTGTTGGCAACAATTCATATTTAACTTTGGGATCTTATGGATGGCTTGAGTTACTTCAATTAGTATTCCCGAACCCCAAATTGGCTGTTGAACCGCGAAATGGAAAGAAAACTTACAGTAAATTTTAAAATAGGGCCAATTTTGTTAAAAATGAAGAAAGATTTTTTTATAAACGAAAGTTCATGATTGTTTTCTATGGTATGTATTAGATTAATACATTTCATTTCTTCAGAGGCTCATAATAAAATTCGATATAGAATTTTTCCTCCTTTGACACTTGCAACAAAATTTTAAGTATTATGGAAGATTTTGCCTCAGATCAAAGATATATAAAACTAACAGTCAGAAACAAAAGCAAATATTTTCAACTTGTAATATATAAATTTTGAATGTAATTTCCTTGAAAATTATTATATATAGATATATACTTTATTATGAGACTTATACTAAAATTTGGTGTAGAATATTTCTTCCCTTGACACTTTTTGTCTACAGCAAAGTTTTATGTTACTTTAAGATATCAAATCGAAAAGAAAGACCAAAAAACAGATCATTAGGAAATACTCTCGTTTTTTTTACAACATTGAATGAGCCGTTTACTTGATATAAAATGGAAATATAAATATATTTTCTTTGGTGACTTGTAGTGAAATTTGATAAAGAACATTCTTGTCCTTAGCCTCATCCTTCTAAAATAAAATTTTGTGGGTGAAATTTACCGAAACTCATATTAAGTACGATTTTCATCTTTAAATGCGTTTTTATCTGGCTATTTTTGTGATATTTTGTAGATATTGATTATAGGGTATTAAAAGTAGGGCCCAGCTGATCATAACGGGGTTTACTTCTATCTGTTGCCCAGTGTTTTTAGAGAAATGTTAATGAACTAATAACGTTGGTGATTTTGAATGATTAGCGGCTTTTTCTCAGGGTTTAATTTTCACGACAACCATCATTATGGCAAATTTATAATGAGACCCATTGTTCTATTAGCGAAATAATTAGCCACAACTTTCACCAAAAGTGATGGCATAAAATAACCATAAAAGTTATATTCAAGAGATAGTCAAGGAAATTAAGCATAAATATATAGGGTGAGATGAAAAAACTGCAACAAACGTCCGACAGCTGTTAAAATTATTCCAGTGACAGCTCATTATATTGTTTACAAGCGTACAAAAGCATTTTTGTGGGAATTTTCCAGAAAAAGTTATTCGTGATGGAATTCAAGCGTGATAGTGTGGTTTCTTAATATCTGGCTGGAAAACCACAAGTGGCTATCGTTAGAGCCCTCCAGCATTTAAATGCGAATAAATCTTTTGTGTATCGTACCATCGCTCGTTACCGTGATACTGGTAGCGTAACCCGACGCCAAGGAAGTGGACGGAGGAAAACAGCAACATTCGCAGTGGCCGAAAAATGGCCCGTGAGCTGAACATATCGCAATATTCCATTCGGCAAATATTGCAAAATATATAAAAGCCTTGGGCACGCAAACATTTTGGCCTTGGACATTCCAACGCACTCAGCACTCGCCACCTCCTCGCTTCATTTCCAGCGCACAATGGCCACCAAAATCTCCGGATACCGATCCGTAGGACTATTGTGTACTAAAAAATGCCAAGGTGTCGATCACCTCAAGCAAGCTCTTCGCCGGGAATGGGCCAAAATACCACAGAGCAACATTCGGGCAGCGTGTGACCAGAATTCGTGCTAAAAGTGACCAATTTGAATAAATCTAAACTTATTCTAAAAATTAATGCTATTTCCGACACATTTTATGCTTTCATTCAATAAAATTAAAAATATATATATAAAAACTATGGCGTTTCACTTTGTTGCAGTTTTTTTATTTCACCCTGTATAATTATTACTATATTCCACTTTATTTGAAAAATAAAAGACACCATATTATTAATTTAGTAACTCTAGTTATCTTATCACCCCACTTTTCTACATACTTTCCATTCCAAGTTTCATCTCCGCTTGCGGTGTTTTCTATTCACATTTTGCTCTGCTAAATGGGTAACTGATAGAGAGTCAGACCAACGAAAAGATGACGACGTCTACAGATATTGTTCCTCCGTTTAGGTGTCGACTTT